ATATACCTGTAAATAGTTTTTTTCTTAATAAAGATTCCCAATAATATCTTTTAGACATGAACATAGCCTTCAATCTATTGTATATATGTTTTATGTATATAATATGTAATACGAGATGTTTTAAACTACTTTAATTATTTCCATCAATTAACAAGTAAATGCTTTTATATGCAAACTTCTCTTATACAAATCTGAGGTAGATATTTAACTTTCTTGTTTTTTTGTTAGTCTTTAAATCTTTTAGCATATGAGCAGTATTATCTTATGCTATTCTTTGACTTGAAAGCTAGATACATGAAATTTTATATGGTACCTTCTACTAAACTAGTATTTTCTAAAAGACTCCTCATTCACACTAAATTGTCAATATATATATAGTAACTTTGAAAGTACTTACTTTCTAGCTAATTGCATATTTTCGACAAGGCAACTTCTCGGTTCTATCAAAATTTCCCTTCTTAAGTATTTATACTACTATATTACCAAAGTATCTTGTATTAAGGCTTCCATGGTGTTCTAATTACAGTTAGTTCAACAAACTTATCTATTTAAGTATTTATTTTGGTAAAAGTTCTGCTCAAGTATAAGATTCTTAAATTATCATTTTTTTATTCAACTTTCTTATGTCAAATATTTCTATTTATGTAGATTACATTAATAAACCAAAACTGAGCTTAGATAGCCTTTCTACATTATTCTTTTCACAAGGAACTTTGGACTTAGTGGGTTAACTACATATACTAAGCCATCCACGACTTTGCTCTCCCAAGCTTGATAGGCAAAATCATGTAAGAAGTTGACCCGGAACACTTTAGAACAAAAGCTTGTGATATTAAGAAACATTACTTCGTACTATATTGCCTGCCTTACAGTAAACAACTATGTTAATTAGTTATTTTCCATTTATTAAGATGAATGATGATATTGTTTGATCTCTTGATGCTTATTGGATAACACGATGCTATGTTTGATCACCTAGTGACATTTAATAGGGCTGACTGTGCATGAAAACGACTCCAGTTAAAAATATAATTTATAAGCGTGATTTCATTGCATGGCTATGCTCTCGATATCGATATCCCGATATGAGATTTTTCCTTGGCTATTACTTTTGTAGTATCGACTAGACGATGTACTCATCTTGATTGGACATGTTCTGGGTCAGGATTATTTTCATAGTTTTATAGAAGTCGTTCCACGGTAACTATATGGTTAGTGCATAACATTTCATGCACAGTTACTTAAATTAAACCGACAAACATGCGGTTTATAAAAAGAGGAATTAGACAGAGAATATAACATGTATATAAACAGACACATGTGCATTCCTGATTTCCTGAGCTATATATACAAGGGCCAAAGGGACAATACTTGACTTGAAGCCGTGTTCCCGGGACGGTTTACAGGGAAGCGATTTATATACATGAAAATATTCTTCTCTAATTCAAATAAAATGTAAATTAAGAATAATGTGTTTATATGCTATGTGATAGATTTGACATGCACGACATGTCCTAGATGAGGTGTTGGTGATGTATATTTTTATTGTTTGATAACTATAATTAATAATTTCCCTTGTCATCTTTAATTGAGTTTCCATCTTATCTTTATACCTGCCCCTACACTTACATGCGCACGATTTCCTCATTTTACATGCTTGCTGGGAGTTTTCTGACTCCCCTGGGGTTTGCGTGCCCAGGATTCGGGGACTATTCTTTCTTTGCAGGACCAAGAGCACTTTAAGGATCAAGCTCAGTGACAATGATCACCTTATTTCCTATCAATCTCTCAGCTGCAGTGTATTTATTTTTTCCCTTGTAATCACTTGTGGTTCTCCAGCCTATGATGTATTTTCCTCTTTTCTACTCTGGATAGTTGTGTACATGTAAGAGAATTCTGTCTTTTTAAGAGATTTCTTTATCTATCTATTTTCTTTGTTATCTTAGTTACATGCTCTTTGTAGTAGTTTCTTTGGGCAACATATCTATATACAGGATGATCTAGAGGCGTGAATGTGATCGTATGGTTGCATTGCCGGTCGAGTCATGCTCCAAATGATCAAAATTGGAACCGGGGCGTGACAGATGTGGAACTAAAACATTGTAGGAATTCTAAAATTGCATGAAACTAATTCAATTTATTTTATGAATTGTGAATTACTCTCATGTGCTTAAAATGATCATGTTTAGGATAATCAACTCGAGAACTAACTAGTAGAAGAAGAATTGGATAATCTATGCTTGCCTTGAGTGGTAGGATAATGCTCATAAATTCTAGAATTACTATCTAGTTATTGTTCTTTTCATGAGTATTAATTTTACTTGGATGATAATAGGATAGGTTATGTTTAACTTAAGTGGTAGGATAGTCTACACTTAATAAATCTAAAGTAAAATATGATAAAAAGAGAATAGTTTATGAATTTATAAGTGAAATTAGCTAGTGGATTCAATTCTGGATTCCTCATATCTCTAATTGAATCCTTCATCTTTACTTTCTTGAATTTCCTCTTTGTTCTTGATTTTTCTTTATTTGCTTCTTGATTTTATTCCCTTTTCTTCATCTTTTTATCTCCCTTCTCAATCTCATTTTGTTTTCATTTGCATATACTCACAATAACTCTCTTTATTTCTCCACATATCACATGTTTCATTCCTAATAGTCACACACATCTTATAATCACTTTTGATTAATTCCTACAACATCTTACTCGTGGGATTCAACATTTTTCTATGCTATAACTTGATAGTTATGTGCTTGCAACTTTTATTTATCATTTTTGGCCTATCAAGTTTTTGGTGCCGTTGCTGGGTAAGGTGCTTATAAGTAGGATTTTTTTATTTTGGTTCTTTAATTTGTGTGTTTTCCTGTGAAGGAATCATTTTGAAGATTGAAGATCAAGGATTGAAGATTAGAGATTTGCTTGTGGTTACTCTTATTTTTAGTATTTCCATTTCTACCCCTTTAGTTAGTTCCTCACAAGTAGAGACAATTAGGATCTAAAAAAAGATTTTTTTTTTTACTTTTGTTGACCATAATAAAATCAACCTTCCACTTAGACATTTACTGATAAGATAAATCTCAAACAAGAGATCTCTTTCTCATATTTTTTGATTGTTAACCCTAATTAAAAAATTAAAAGATTTTCATTTTGTATCCTTTATAGTTGCTTTTGATTCCTAGGGTTGCATTGCATATAGTTAGTAGGAATTCACCCAAGTGATTTGAGCATTTGATTTGGCACACTTGAAAATATTCTTAAGGGCAAAAAAACCCCTAATCAAGGTAAGGTGAGGGATTTCATCACCCTTTCTTTAGCCCACAAATCACTAATTCCTCAAGGTGAGGTATTTCATCATCTTTTCTTTAGCCCACAAATTACTAATTCCTCAATACACAAACCCAAGCCTTTTAAAACCCATTAAATGATAGCCCCTAAGGACTCGAGCTCATTAAGGAATAAGAAATCCTTTAACTGAATCGATTTAAGTTTACTTAAATCCGTTGGTGTCTAAAGTAAGGTTTAGTGGTTGCGTAAAGGGCTCCGTAAGGAATGAGGTACTTAATTGATCTTTGATCCTCCATCTAGTACTATCCTTACCTGGCTAACTGGTCTAGTAAACTTTATTCTTTTCACTAAGAGAGTTTTTGGTTAGGAGCTAGTCTAGCTAAGTTTAGGCTTAACCCTAGAATTTGGAGTGATTAACAGAAGTGATTTCTTTTGATTTGTTTTAGTTAGGTTTTTCTTTTATCATTCTCCTCCTTCTCATTATCTTTTAGAATTTTTTTAGTTTTCCTTCAAAAAAAGAAAAAAATTTAACTTTTGTTTTTTGGAATTTCTTTTTAGATAAAAAAACAAACAAAAAGAATTTGTCTTGGTGTATACAAGGTTGGATTAGGGATAAAACCAATCTTTTAATCCGTTCTGAACCAATTTTAGAAGAAATGGATAATTCTAATCAATTTCTTTTTAGATAAAAAAACAAACAAAAAGAA